TATATATATATATATATATATATATATATATATATATCTATCTTTGTGTGTATGTGTGTTGTCTATCGTGATTATTTGGTTATCAGAGTTTGTAAGACACCTGGGGTCACGGGTCTGATCCCGCCTATATGTAAAATAGAATTCTTAAGCAGATAAGGTTGGTCGGGAGCCTCACCTAATACCCTCTGAACCCTTTGAAAGTCATAATTCCTCTTAGGTCATGAATTCGAATCCTTCTCTGACCAGTTTGTCGGTAGTGAGGGCGGTTCACAAATAGTTAGGCACATGAGGGTGGTTGGGAGCTCGTATAATAGCCTTGCGGCCTTTCTTTATATATATATATATATATATATATATATATATATATTGACATGCAACGGCCTACACATGTCTGGAATCTTTCTACTCCAGCACTATCACCTATTGATCAGATGAGTCAATCATCGGATGAAGAATGGCAGGTCTACACATTACACATCCAGGAGGAAAAAAAAAGAATGAAGACCTACTTGAGCTCAGGAATTTGATGGATGATACTTTGGTTACTACGGGCAATAGTACTCACCTTACCAATTTGTTAGTCGGCTCACTTCCGAGGACTAGAGGCAAAAGGACTAAAGTGGGACGTTCCTGACACTTTTGTGTCAGTTTGTGGCCTTTTGGTTTTTTACCTTTATGTATATTTGCTTTATCTGAGTTTTGTATGTGTTGTATTATATGAGTTGGGTTTTCTTTTAGACGCTCTCATACAACATTTCTGTATATTTTCCGTAGACCCTCTCATACAACATTTCTGTACATTTTCCGTATTTATATATATGCCCTCAGGCTTTTTATAATATATATATATATATATATAAAGCTTGATGTAATGAATCTTCTGTGCAAACAAGCATTAGCTACAAGTCAAAATCTGGTATCAATTACTTGAACTTATGCTCAAAATTGTATACACAATAAGCATGCTTAAGTGCATTTGTTGGAAATATATATTTGATTGAAAATAGGGACTGTGGAAGGATTTCAATAAAATAAATATCATGGTAGTGCTACCTCCACTGGTGAAGAAGCCAAATAATAGCCATCGAAAAAAAGAATGGAATGCCTTCAAAAGAAGAGAAGGATGTGAAACAACATCGACGAAACTAGTATTGGGTGAAAGTTCATCAACTTCATGAAAACTTTAACTTTCTTATCATAAGTTATAATATTATTATTATATTTGATGTAAAAATATTGACCATTCAATTTGTGATTGGGGAAGGAGCATTATACGGCTCTATATGTATTACTAACAAAAGTGGTTGCGGTTGGGTGTGGAGGTTGATCCCCACGAAAGGAAAAAAGTACAATACTCATGTGAAGAGGGGTTTCCACCTCCAACAGTACAACTCGACCCAAAAAAGTCTCCAAAAAGAAATACAAGTATGCCCCGTATATCCAAAAAACCAATAGTATACCACCAAAAAAGTAATCGGTAAAATCTGAAGAAGAAAACCTCGAGCAAGTACAGGAGAGAAGAAAAAGAGACAGCATCGAAACTTCAACATTGGATTCAAACCAAAAAAAGCGGGAGTGCAGCATCAGGTTGGAGGAACCTTCAAAAAGTTGCACGAAGAGACAAAATACAAACCAGAAAAACTGAGCAGCAACAGTATGAAGTCGGCAATGGGGAAAAAACCGCAGGAAGTAAAGCCCAGAAAACATCATTCCAGATAATAGGCATTGAGAGCAGGCCAAACAATACTGCTAGTTACAGACAAGCAGCTGGTAGAGGTAAGCCAAAGAAATACCGAGGAAGCAGAACATAAATTGAAAAACAAGGAAGCAAAGTAATGAAATGACCACACCCAAACAAGCAAAACTGAAACAAAGTCAAGCTGTTTCTGCCAACAAACAGAAAAATTATCTTCTAATGTAAGGCACATCAAGTAAAACAACATCCAAAAGGACCTAAAAGTGATGTGGGGGCAGAACACCCACTAAGACCCTCAGCATACCTTGTTTAGCAAGTCAATCTGCTGGGGAGTAACATTCCCTATAGATGAACCGCATTTGAATAACCAAATTATGGCGCTCGATAAAGTCCCATATCATGTTTAGTAAGCAAAGAACATTCAAATTAGCAGGAGAGGTCTTATTACACATGTTCACAAGCACTATCGAGTCATTTTCAATATGTAAAGTGCGAAAGTTAAAGATAGCCGCAATTTGAAGAACAAACCAAATGAACCACCAAGGGAGTAGAGGCATGAACCAGTGAAGCAACACAACAAAGGCAATTGCCCGATGAGTTTCGAAAAACACCGCCTGTCCCAGCGGCGTTAGTGGTCCAGCTCCCATCTACATTAAGTTTAACCAAGCCATGGGAGGGGGGTTGCCACCTAATAAAGGTGGCCATCCTACCCCTCGCAAGAGGGATAATACCAATCTTGAAGTGGCAAGAAGCTTTGAAAAAGTAAGAAATAATGTAAGAAGTAGTAATAGGAGTAGGAGGTGAAGCCTCATATCTGCAAGCATTCCTTGCCGACCATTTAAACCACAGAATAACAAAAGGAAAGGATTCCAGCTTCCCATCATAAATAGAAGCAGATTTCCAAGCCAGTAAATAGTTTCCAATCTCCAACCGTGAAGGTCAAACAATCCCAAAAAACTGCCCCATCGATCACCAATTTCACGAGCAAAGGGGCTGATAAAGAAAAGTTGTGAGGCAGATTCCTCTCACATTTGCAGAGATAACAACAAGAAGGCATTCGCAACCCCTTTAATTTCAGAATGTCATAGAAAGGCAACAGTAAAAGAAAATTGCGCCAAGGAAATAGACGGAGATAATAAAGCCTTCCAAAGTTGAGATGACCAACGACAGGGGGCAAATATATGTAAATTATGATAAAGCAATTTTGTAATGGAGGCATTCGAGGTAAATTTCCAAATAGGTGTATCCGGTATGGAGTTAGATATGGGAATTTGTACATACATTTTGACATACATATATACATATATATTGATAAACATACACACACATACATATGTATATGTTTTTGAATGTATATATACTCGCACAAATACATATGTACATATACATATCTATATGTATATGTAGATATGTATGTATGTATGTATGAATATATATATTGAAATACATGTGGGTCAACTGGTGGGTTGTTGGTTGGCAGCTTCGGCGCAAGTCCCCTATGTCCCAGGTTTGAATCCCTCTGGGTCGAATTAGCACATATGGGGTGAACAGACACATGTTGTCATCCATCTTTTAATATATATATATAGATAGATAGATAGATAAATAGATAGATAGATAGATAAACATGGACATACATACACACACAAACATATGTATATGTTTATGAATGTATATACATACAAACACCCACATAGATATATACATATGCATATGTATATATATGTATATGTATATGTGCACAAGCCCTGACCTGTTGGTGGCGGCTTCGATGTAAGACCCCTCAGGTCAGAGGTTCGAATCCCCGTGGCCTGGTGGCCCCCGAATAATTGCACATAGCGCGGGCTCATTGACCGCTTCGGGGCCTAGCGCAAAGGGTTGGTATTTCGGTTCATCCCAAATACCAATCTTTAAATATACGTACATATATAGATAGATAGATAGATAGATATATATAGATAGATAGATAGATAGATAGATAGATAGATAGATAGATAGATAGATAGATAGATAGATAGATAGATAGATAGATAGATAGATAGATAGATAGATAGATAGATAGATAGATAGATAGATAGATAGATAGATAGATAGATAGATAGATAGATAGATAGATATACATAGATATAGGCATAATATCAACCAAAGACATAATATCTAGTGGTGAAAGTAAAGTATTATTTCCACATGACTGCCATTAACCTATGACTAACGTGATTAACTAGCTATCTTTGATAATATTTCATTGCATTCTTTAAGGTTTTCCTGAAAACAAATAAGCCAATTAAAACTTCGAAAATTTACAAGATGGTGAATCCTAATACATCATTTTACCATTTTAGTCGATGCAAACAGGAAGTTAATACTATGAGCTGATCATACAGAAATGAGTGTTGGCATGGTTATTAGGTAAAACTAAATGCAGATAAATTGCAAACTTGAAAATAATAATGAGATTTGGGGAATAATATCAGTTAATGGATAGGGTGAATGCAAATTGCAACGAAGAGAAGAAGAGGCACCATTAAGACAAGACACAAATATCTTAAGGCAGGACACCTGCATTAATGCTAAGCAATTAAGACTGGATAGTGTCCTAAAGGATCCAGCTTAGATTTTTAACTTTTTATTCATCTCTTCTTGTAATGGATAGAAGAAAAGACTCATGAAGCCATTATATACTAGGGAAAAGGTTGTGGTGCTGCCACAGCTGCTGATAATATTCATACCAACTAATTGTAAAATCGAGACAATAAATATTAAAACTTATGAAGATATCATAACTTAAAAATTCAAAATTTTAAACAGAATTTCTGCGCATCCATCCTAAAGCTACAAAGAATGAACCATTATAGCTAAAAGGGTTCATGAAGCTTAATTAGAATGATGGACACAATTCTTGCACATTTGGTTAATATAAATCATGGGTTTTCCCTTTTAATAACAACTAGTAAAGAGAAACTGGGGTGGAAGTGTTGAGTGCATTCAGCATACGTTCAATTTTGAATATTTTTTTAAACATTCAGTTCGAAACATTACTATATGACAGTTAGCAGATATGTTACCTTTATCATTTTGTAGACACAGTAAACTGATAAGACATAGCCTAATAAATTCTGCATGTGTCCTCTCCAGGTTCGAGAAAAAGCAGCAGCTTCCTGAGAATTATTCAAAGCGATGGTTCAAGTCAGAGACGAAAGCAACTTTAAAAACCCACTTTCAACTCTGCAAGATGAAAAAGCGAAATAGGATAATTGAGCTCTAGAGAAATAAAATTGGTACCACATATCACAATGACAACCATAAAAAAAATTTCATTTTAATAGTAGGTAAACTAGAGCAAATACTATGCTACCTAGCTACGTAGTGAGGTTACAAGTGAGAGTGATGTGGGTGGGGGCGTATAGTGACCTGCGGGAAAATCCCGTGCTTCCTTCGCCTGGACCGAACCGGTCCAGACTCGGGAGGCCCGATCGGCCCTTCCACCGTGGATTGGTGCTTACATTCCATTGGAGGATTCGATTATAATTATCTAAGGCTTATACATATGTTTCATTTGTCTTAAGTTTTCAGTTTTTCTGGGTTTTCAGTCAAGACTCCCACCGGCGTCTCCTTGTTCCCTTTTAGGATTGTATCAGAAGGTGAGCAAGTGCTCCAACTGTAACTCATCCTGAAGTGATGTTTATCTATCGTTTCCTACTTCCCACCACCCCTCCACTGCCGCTGTCACCATGGTTGCTGTCACCACTCAGAAAACAGCCTCTTTTGTTGTTTTCCTGCTGTCGGCCATCGCTGCCAGCCACCTCCACCTCGTTGTCAGCCGTCTGCATCTTGCTGCCGGCCCCTCCAGCCACCTAACTACTTGTTGTTGCCCCCTTCCAGCCAAATCCAACCAGACATCACCCTCTTCCAGCCACCTCCCACCAGTTGCCACCGGCCCCTTCAGCCACCAACTTGCTTGCTACCGCCTCTTCCAGCGACCTCCAACCAGTTGTCACCCTCTTCTAGACTCTAACCATGCCGCCGAGAAGACAATTATCAGAATTGGACCAGGATTTTATCATGAGCGATATAGAATGAATACTCCGCCAAGTGTTACAATGGTTGAGGCCATTAAGGAAAGAACCATAGATGAGGTCACCGTTGACCATAATAGTGAGATCCATGACGAACTGAAAAAGCAGTTGAACCCCTTTCATAGGGATGACTTAAATGTTGTGTATATAGATCCAAAGCACCCTAAAATCCCGGTGCATAAGTGGCGGGTTTGGGCGCCAAAGCGCCCATGTTTGGGGGCTGACAGGGGGGCTCCTTTGCGCCCCTTTGGGCGCTCAAGCACCCATATTTTTGGCGCAGAGAAAGGAGTCGACGCTTAATCGCCAGCCTTGGGCTCGATCTCGAGAACTGCCTAAGCGCCTGATACAGTTACTCGGCTCTCTGAGTTTTTAAACCAATTTCGAGCGGTATAATGATGGGTTGGGTGTAGGTCTTCATTTGGTGTTCTTCAACAAGTTCCTGATGAAGGAGAGAAGAGTTTGAGAGGAGGATTTCTGGGATGTCGATGTGTGTTTTTCGAGTCAGATCGGAGAAGGAAGATTGTGAAGCGTCCTATAAATTTCTTCGTGTGGATGTGAAAAAGAAACTTGTTTGAGTCCTTTGTAAAATTGTCTGACTTTCATAGTAAATTTGTGGTGGTGTGGCTCTATGGTGTTTTCCTGTTCTCGGATTTTTTTTCACCTAAATTTTTTATTGCAATTCTGGTTGTTTTGATTTTGCTTTTGTGCTTGAATTTATTATTCTAATTTTCTCGAACCTTGTGATCCTATTCTGCGGTGAAACTAGAAGGAAATTCTTTCGAAATAGTTTCTCCCAACAAACTGGTACCAGAGCAGGGTTCGATTCGAGTGGGAGCAATGGCAAATAAAACAAGGTTCAAGGTGGAGAAGTTTAATGGGACGAACTTTGTTTCTGGAAGATGCAGGCGGAAGATTTGTTGTATCAGAAAAAATTGTACTTGCCACTACAAGGAAGTGTAAGGAAGACTGAGTCTATGCCTATGGAGGAATGGGAAATGTTGAATTGAACGACACTGGTTTTAATAAGGTTAACACTTTTCTCATTTGTTACGTTCAACATCGTGAATAAGAAAACTACGGCCGATCTCTTGGCGGCACTGGTCAAGATGTACGAAAAACCTCAGCTTCTAATAAGGTTTTTCTGATGAAAAAATTATTCAACATGAAGATGATGGAAGGCAGTTCAGTGACAGAGCATCTTAATAACTTCAACGTTGTGACGAGTCAATTGTGTTCTATGAAGAACATGTTTGATGATGAGGTCAGAGCACTAGCAATACAATCTTATTTGTCGAAAAGCTGAGTAATTCTTTAGGGATTTTGAAGTTCAACTTCAATGACATTGTGGGTCTGATGCTAAATGAAGAAGTTCACAAAAAAACAGTGAATGGTGAATCTTCAGGTTCTGCATTTAAAGTTGATAACAGGGGAAAGAATCTGGGCAGGAATACAGGCAGAGGCAGATACAAGTCCAAGAAAGAAAAGATTAAGTCAAGGAGAGGAGAATGTTGGAATTGCGGTAAGCAGGGGCATTTCAAGAAGAACTGCAAAGCTCCAAGGAAAGCTTGTGGTGGAGGGCAAGATATTAGTTTCTCTGCTAATATCTCCACCAGTAAAATCCAAAATAACTTTCTGGTGTTATCCCTAGTCAGTATTGAATCTTGGATAGTGGATTCAGCTGTATCTTTTCATGTTTGCCCCAATAAAGAAGTATTTAAAAACTACACTCAGAATGATTCAAGGAAGGTTTATTTGGGAGATAACAAAGCCTGCAGTGCAGTAGAAAAGGGAGATATTGACATCAAGTTAACGAATGGAGCGGTTTGAAAGCTTACTGATATCAGACATGTTCCTAGTTTGAAGAAAAATGTCCTCTCTGCGAACAAGCTGGCAAAGTCAGGACTCGTGACAACTTTCACAGGTGATTAGAAGAAGACCAAGGAGGCATCAGTGATAACTCGGGGCAACATTAAAGACACCCTTTATTTGATGAATGAAATTGTTGATTTCATTGATATGGCTGGAACCAAAGTGGACTCAGGTCTGTAACACCGTAGGCTTGGTCATATGAGTGAGAAATATATGAAGTCCCTACTTTCAAATAATAAGTTTTAGGGTCTGAAATAAATTGATCTGAATTTTTTTAAGATTGTATATACGACAAGCAGAAGAAAATTTTTTTATTGAAAAGCGGATCAGTGGTTAATTCAAAGAAACTGAAGTTAATGCATACCGGAAGGTTTTCTCTATTTTGTCACATTCATTGATGATCACATGAGAAAGGTAAGGGTTTATTTTTTTAACGCGGAAATCTGATATATTTGAAGTTTTAAAGAAATTGAAAGTTATAGTAGAAAATGAGACAGACATGTAGCTAAAGTGTCTCAGATCAGATAATGGGGGTGAGTACTATGATCAGAAATTCAGAAATTTCTTTGCAACAAGGGAGTCGGGCATGAGTTCATTGTTCTAAGGACACTACAGCAGAATGGTGTAGTTGAGCGCATGAACAAAGCAATCACAGAGCGTGCTAAAAGCATAAGGTTGCATGCAGGCTTGCCGAAACATTTTTGGGCTGAAGCAGTTAACACTGCAAATTATCTGATTAATTTTAGTTCGTCGGTACCAATAGAGAAAGGCTTACCCGAATAATCCTGGAGTGACTAAGAAGTAAGTCTATATCATTTAAGAGTATTTGAGTGTTTTGCATATGTAAATGTTGATGCAGTTTTAATAAGCAAGCTTCACTCGAAATCTGTTAAGCGCACCTTAATTGGATATGGTTCAGATGAGTTTCGGCAAGTTCTGGGATTATTAGAATAAAAAATTCATCAAGTGCAAGGATGTCACTTTCAACAAGATGGAGTGGACAGGGTCAAAACTCAAGACAATCCATCAGCTACTTCTGAAGAATCCAGATATGCGGAGATAGATGATACTGGTGATCAGGAAGATGGAGAAAGAAGAAGTGCTCAACCAGAAGAAACACTAGAAGTTCCTCAGAAACCTAATACAGAAGTCAGGAGATCCAGCGGAGTGAAACAGCCCATATAAAAGTATTCTCCTTCTTTACACTATTCGTTACTAACTGATAGTGGTGAACCAGAGTGCTTTGAGGAAGTCACTCAAGTTGATCAAAGGGAGTGGGAGCTCTCCATGGATGAAGAAATGTGATCTTTTTAGTCAAATCGGATTTGGGAGTTGACGGTGCTACCAATGGCAAAAGAATACTGCCAACAAGTGAGTTTACAGGCTGAAAGAAGAGTCGGATGGTAGCAACGGCTACAAGGGAAGACTTGTTGTGAAGGGTTTCCAGTAGAGGGAAGGAGTGGATTATACAGAGATTTTCTTTCTAGTGGTGAAGATGACGACTGTGAAGGTTGTGTTGAGTTTGGTAGCAAAAGAATATCTACATATGGAGCAGATGGATGAAAAGACAGCTTTTTTATATGGAGATCTGGAGGAGGAACTGTACATGGTGCAGCCACAAGGTTACAAGATTCCAGACAAAGAAAGTTCGGCCTGCAAATTGAAGAAAAATCTCTATGGCTTAAAGTAGGCCACGAGACAGTGGTACAAGAGGTTTGATAGGTTTATGTCAGACAATGGGTACTTGAAGTGTCATGCAAACCATTGTTGCTTCATCAAACACTTCAATAACTGTTATATTTTTCTTCTTTTGTATGTAGATGACATGTTGATTACAGGGGTAAATATGGAGAAAATCATGGACTTGAGGAATCAATTACCAAGTGAGTTCAAGATGAAGGATTTAAGTCCAATTAGAAAGATTCTCGGGATGAGAATCAGCAACGATATGAGTGCAGGAACACTAAGGTTATCTCAAGAAGAGTATGTTGAGTATGTTGAAAAGATCCTACAGAGAAGTTCAACATGAGTGAGGCAAAACCAGTTAACACTCGGGTAAGAGAAATTATTGCATCAGGAGTCCTGATGCAGTTTCACATCAGGACTCTAATCAGGATTTGTCGCATGTACAGGCACACCCCCAGTTTAATACATGGATGGGTCCTGATGCAAAAATTTTTTCTTAGGTAGTCACTTCAAATAATATAAGGAGC